AAACATTTGGCTACCTAGATAGTGCATTTATTAAGAAATAGAATAATAATTTAGGTATTTTCACCTATACTGGGCAATTTTTCCTGGCGCCTGAAGCAACGTCAAGTTCTTGGTTCTATTCATCATAGTGTTGTAGTCATGYGGACATAGATTRGTAGCWGTGCTTGGATAACATGGCGCTTCTCGTTGTAATCCTGATGTTTGTGTTGCTAGTTGCCTTAAAAKATAATACCAGGAGATGTTATATGYATAAACACTGTCACAYYAGGKAGCTYAACACATGCAAAAGAAGGCGCAATGAAAGTAGCTGCTGTCTTGTAGGCAAGTCTATAGATTTGATYCTTGKAYCAACTGAGGTMCTTGCATAAAAGAGCAATCTTTGTACAAGAAAGAAAACGAGGAATCAAAGTGTATGAATTTATAGAAATTCAATATATAGTGATACCAACATGAATTATGCGCATCAATTTATTTGTTCCCGTTACCACAACACCCAATACTGTGATGGATTTTTGAATATTCTATTTTAAATTAAAACTTAAATGAACTATAAACTTACCAGAAAGTAATCTTGTTGTCATTAAAAGGATTGTTTACATCAAATTTGTCTTCGTATTGAGCTACTGTATCTTCAATGAGAGAACGGGCCTTCTTGTCATTGACTTGCTTAAACCACATCAAAGCCTGAATTTGGAAAACTTGTCTTAGAAAAAGGTTTGCACCCAATGAGTTCTGAGTAATTGTTACAACCAAATCAATTTGCGAGGATTGAAATCTATGGTTTCAAATAGTAGTTGAGACCGAAAGGATACATGGGAAGACAAAATTTGTTGACACCTTTAAGTGACACTGACTTGAATTGCGCATTTGCCTAACGTCTTGTGCATCTTGAAAAAAAATTGTCCTCGATTTTTAATTTCACGCGCAATTTACCGGGTTCCATCGATTTTTTGTTGTGTGCAGTTGGCTATGGTAGCCTTTATTTCATCCAATGATAACCCCGTTGAACCCCGTTGTAATGTTTACATTGGCTGCGAACACAGTCTTAGGCAACCTAGCGTAGTGCTATATGCTTTTGGCTTTTTAACTCGAAGATTGCGAATCAATGGAAGAGTTATTGGAGGGGGACGAATCTGTCACTCACTCAGTCACTCACTCACTCACTTTCCTGTAAACTTGAGACTGCGTTACTTGTGTTAAGAATTATTAAAAGACTGGGATTTATCTCGCTGGTGCTCGCCTGTGGTTATCCAGAACCGAAGTTAAAATAATAAGATTTTAACGAAAAAAAAAACTATATTCATAAATCGTTTACTTAAAATTCTAAAAAAATGAATTAATCGTATCCATCGTATCGTTCCGTATTCGTCTACACAATCAATCTTCGAGTTGTGTTGCCATTGGCGACTTGATTTTTCTTACCGTTAATACTTTTGAAAGCGAAGCGCATGGATAAACTGTGTTGACTGTCGGAGATCTTGTTGGCTTTTCTGCTTTGTTCATTATTCCAAAGGCTCCTTCCATGATAACTTTATCTCTATAGACAACATTAGCGCTYACGGCAACCTGTATCAAACATTTGTTAAAAGTATTGATACACGACTAATTGCATCGCTGATAGTTTTCAATGCCCAAACGCACATGGGCAAATCAAAATCAAATACTACGCGCACATATAAGATTCGACGTTTGAWGTATGCTGTAAAACTAGTTTTCACTCAACATAAGCACAGAAATAAACTCCTAAACATGTGTTTTCACATGGTATTAACACAACAGTCTGACGGCATAATCATAAACACACACACACACACACAAAACGTGTTCGCGTTCATTTATCCAGCTATACTTATGCGCTCATAAAAGCAGTCTTCTTTTATAGTTTACACAAGTTTACCGTTTGGTTTTTATCAACTGCTTCACTTAAATACGTCTTGAAATCCTGAAGTTCTTTTTGTATATTGGCAGGTAYCGTTGGAAGGTCGATGGAGCTTGGCAAGGAAATACAGCCGCTTTGAACTGCAGGCTTTTGGGTTGTCTGACGTAAAAAAAGAAACAACGCTGAGACCATATCTAATACATATCGGTACATATTCTATGTAAGACTTTCTCGGGTCATTCCAACACTTTTTTAGACAAATTCTTAAAGATTATTGACAGTTCTTAAAATTTCAGTACAAACGATAATAATCACGTTTTTAGGATAAAAAATAATGGAATAACCAATCAATTTACACACAGATTCGAGGTTAAGCCTGCTTGTACTGGAATGTTGATAATAGTCAAATTAGACCCATATTAGATAGGCCGGGCTGATCGAATGTGGTCTTTACGAAGTTGAAAAGGAGACTGGGAATGAGTGTATGGAAAGTGAACCTCACCACATTAAAAATACTATACTATACAATTAGTGTTCTTGAGGGAGTTTAAGTTTGAGTCTATTTGGTTGAATACTCACCGAGTAGTGTTAACTTCAATTTACGAAACTAGAGAGAATGTATTGTTTGGGGACGATGCTCTATTAAAAAGCTCCATATATTCTTTGCTATTTTTTCGAATTTTAAACGTTTTTCACTCATTTCAGTCATAGTTAGTAACTATGTTTCAGTCTTACGATGGTTGGCAATTTTTATCTCATATCAACAGCTGCCTTAACAAAATACTTTGAATAAAGGTTGTCAAAGTATTCGTAATTGAATCAGTTTTGAATCCATTTGTCGAAAATTTGACATTTGCCGAGGAAGAAAAAGCTAACATACCCAATTATAGAAAGAGTTGGAAGTAATTTTCACTTGGCTTGTCGACAAACGTGTCAAACATCACATGTCGTTATAATGTAAATTAATACACTTTACCACAAGAACCATATACATGTGAATATCTTTATTAAAATCTAATCTCTATTCACAAGAACTTTTTTATTTTAGTACTATTTAGTAATATTGCTCTCTTTTGGACTATTTATAATATAGTAATACTGACTCAAATAAACCTCTTGCGTCGGCCGCCATTAACTCATAGTCCTTTTATAAAGTTCATACGTAATGGATATAAACATCTCGAATTTGTACAAACGGCATTTGTAAGTCGAAATAAACTTTAATCAGAATTTTGGCCTTCTCTTGAGTTGGGTATTCGTTCCAATTCAATAGGTCCTGCCACCTGGTTCACGGTAGCTCTTCGACACAGTACTTTCTTTGCAGCTTTATAGAAATCAGGAAGAAAGATGATATAAATAAAAGGGCTTAAACAGGAGTTGACGACAGGTAGAAATTTCCAAACGATAAAGATAAATGATGACCAGTCTATATGACAAGAATCGAATCCCATGATATTCACCGGTGGGACGATAAGGTATTGAATATTCTCCAAAACATTGCAAACATAAATGGGCAGCCAGCAACAGATATACAGCAATAAAGAGACGAGAATCATTCTCACAGCTGCTTGTGTTCGGCGTGTTCGAGCGTTTCGCTGCTGCTCGCTAAGGTGCGTTTCAATAGCTTGGGTTCTTGATAGTCGTTTTATTGTTGGAATGCTAAGAATAAATATTACGCAACACAGAAAAAAGGTTAAAATGTCGAAAACTATCGCGAGAAAAACGGTGAAGCTATTTTTAATGCGTAGATCTAGTAAATTTTCAATACATCGATGGCCAGACACTTCTGCATTATACACGTAAAAAAAAGCGACTGCCATGGACATTAACCAAGGGGTCCCGATTACTGCCAAACGCTGTTTAACTGTGAATTGTTGTATTCTCTGAAGTGTCTGCCTTGTTCCTTTGAATCGTTCAATACTGATAATCAATAAAGTTATTAAAGATACTGCGTGTGAAATATGTTCAAGAAATTTTTCAATCTTACAGAGTATGATTCCCGATTTATTACTTGAATATATACTGAATTCAAAGAAGGATAGCCATGGAACTTTATCAAAGAACCAAACGAGAAGATAAAGAGCATCTGACACGGCCATGTTCACGATCAAATAATGCAGATTCTTGCGAACCAAGTATTTGATAGCCAGTATGACCACGAATATGTTACAAACAATCCCTAAAACACTGAAAAGAACGAAAATTGCGCGTTTTGCATTTTTCTCAAAGTCATTGTCAGGTTCCAAATACTTGCATTTATATCCAAAGCTGTTGTTCGAGACATTAGTGTTTGAATAGTTCATCTTAGTCGTGTTGTTTCAATTTTGTGCTCAACGTTAAAATATCGCTTAAGAATCGGAGTTATCCAATGATGACACAAACACAGCTTACATCAGAGAAAGCGTAATCTATGACTCATCAGTCAATTGAAGCACCAGCCCCCAACCCCCTGTAAGGGCGTACAATGCTTAATACTTGGTAGCCAGGGAATTAAAAAGTGCCTATGACGCCTGACAAAAAACGTCTTATTCTTTGTAAGCTGATTCTACATAAAATAAATAATTGATGGCATTAAATTRATCGTATGCAATGCAGGGAATAACCATATTCCCAGATGGCGTTCTATAATTTTAATTTAAAAAAACATTTTTCAGCGACTGTTTCAAAGTTCGTATATCTAATGAAGCCTCCCTTGACGTCATTATCATTAGCATATTGGTAGATTGAACCTTCAAAACTCATAAAGAAGAAATGAAGAATGAAGAAATATTTCACCATTGAATTATTTAATTTATATAGAATCAGCTCACAGAGAATCAGAAATTATTTTGTCAGGTGGCGGCATAGGCAATTTAAATTTCAATCAACTGAAAGATATGCATGGTAAATAACACTTCTTAATCAAATGAAATGATCTAGGTACGTGACTTTTTAGTCTTTATTAGCCGGGGAAAACTAAGTTTAAACGTCAGTGTCGCAAAGAATAGTTCTCCCATTATTTCCCAGTGATCATTACAACTGTAAAGAGCGGTTTCAATTGACGGYCTCATGGTATTTTCTCTTGAGGAGCGAGCAGCGAGCAGCGAAACGCCATGCCGATTAGAAGAGTGTCTATATATGGGCGAAAAAACCTATTTTTATAACTATAGGGTTTTCCGCGTAGGAAGTCGTCCGCAAGTGGAGATTTGATCGTACTACTGAAATAAAGTCACATATATTTCTTAATATTATAACAACAACTTTCCTTCTATTTATAATATTTTGATTGGAAATTGTAAATTGTAATTGAACTCGTTGTCTTCACACAACTTTCAAACTACAAATTGTTTGATTGTCCTGAGTCTGTTTGCTATTGAAAATGGTGCCAAGACAGCTGMATTTACTAGTATTGATGTCATTTTAATAACTAAAAGGCTTATTAAACATTATGGGAATCTGCAGTCAAATATATTAATTAAAAGTACCARTTGCGCTTATATTTTTATCATAGAACCTTGTGTTGTCTGCTGTTTTTGTTCTTTTTTGGTACCTTGCCCTGGACCTTGCATCGATTGCTATTGATTCGTAGTTATCTTCTCGGGCACGGAGTCTCAAGGTTTAACATACGAGAGTTTGCATACACGGCATTAATGTTCGTCAAGATCTAAATTTTGTCAATGACAGAGAATTCCTGCCTTCTTCTCTCAAGCCCTTCTCTCATGAGTTTAGCATTCTTTGTTGGGAGCTCGATAGAGCTTGCCACCCTGTTCACGGTAGCTCTTTGACACAGAACTTTCCCTGCAGCTTCATGGAAATCAGGTAGAAAGACGATATAAATAAAAGGGCTTAAACAGGAGTTAACCACAGGGAGAAGCTTCCATATGATAAAGATGAATGATCGCCAGTCTATATGACAAGAATCGAATCTCATGATATCTACTGGTGGGACGATAACATATTGAGCAAACTCCAGAACATTGCAAACATAAATGGGAAGCCAACAACAGATGTACAGCAATAAAGAGACGAGAATCATTCTCACAGCTGCCTGTGTTCGACATATTCGTGTGTTTCGCTGTTGTTCGCCAAGGTGGGTTTCAATTCCTTGGGTTCTTGACAGTCGTTTGATTGTTGAAATGCTAAAAACAAATGTTGCACAAAAGAGGAAAAAGCTTAAAATGTCTGAAGCAATCTTTAAAGATCTAGCGAAGTAGTTTGGAGTCTGCACATCTAGTAAATTTTCAATACATTTATGTTTAGACACTTCTGCAATATACGTATAAGAGGCAGTTATTGGCACGGATAATAGCCAGGGGACGGCGAGTACTGCTATACGTTGTCGTATTGTAAATCTTCGTGTTAGCTGCAATGTCTGCCTTGTTGCCCGGAATCGTTCAATGCTTAAAATCAACAGAGTGATTAAAGCCGCTCCGTGTGTGATATGTTTGAGAAATGTTGTACTCTTGCAAATAAAGAAGCCTGTAAAATTGCTTTGATATATACTCCATTCATAGTTTGACAACCATCGAATTTGATCAACTGATCTGACAAGAAGCCAAACAGCATCTGAAACAGCCATGTTGATGATCATATAGTGAAGGTTCTTTCGTACAACTATGGTTTTTGTAGCAATTTTTATGACAAAAAAGTTGCACAAAATCCCGAGTAGAATCAGAAGAACATATGCAGTGCGTTTTGAGATTTTCTCCAGATCACTTTCAGGTTCCCAGTACTTACAACCGTCTTCTGAATTGTTGTTAGAGAATACGATGCTTGAATTGCTGCTCATGTTTGTGGTGTACGAGTTTATTATGTTCTCACTGTAGATGAGTCAATTGCATTAATAGTGACTCAAAGGCGTCCTTATCGAGATGTGCAACTGATAACGGAGGAGGATCTCTACGTCAATGTTGATCTGGGAAAGGAGGTTTGTCACATGCTTTTGAACACCTGTATGATGCTCTTCAATAAACCATGACTTTCGTGTCAGAAATACACCATTCCGAAATTGAAGCTCACGAAAAGGATTTTGATGTGTGAAAGATTAAAATATTTATCTTTGTGCCTGCCTTTGAGTGAACCAGAGGACCGGGATACATTGACATTTCACTCGCATTATTGAATTTGCTGTTAATCGATTTTATTGTATATTTTTCCAAGATTGCTCAATGTACACTATTTCTACGTGTAATTTTGGTATCGCTGCGAGTGGTTTAAGAATTTTCGCTTTTGCCACCGGAAAAAATTGTAAACATTGAATGAGCTTGGTCACAATGTGTAAACGTTTAAGGGTTTTGAATACCTGTAAACATACGAAAAAAATAGAATTAAAAGTTGCCTAGCAAAAATTACACTCTGGAAATCTCTTTATTTTTCTGCAAATACGATGTGAATTTACATGTTGTTTACAGTGTGCGTGAATTAACAAATAGATCTCATTTTTCCGTGCGTGTGTACTCTAATAGATACACAGATGACGTCAAAATGTAGTGAGAACAAAAAAGTACGCACGAGACGCAGTCGAGTGCGTGACTGTTGTTCTCACTACATTTTGACGTCATCTGTGTATCTATTAGAGTACACACGCACGGAAAAATGAGATCTATCTGTTTTATACAACAAACAATTAGTTTTGACGTAATCCGTGTATCTATACTTTGATAACACACGAAAGCCAACCAATCAAAACGTCTGATTTTACTGAAAAGTTGTATAATGTCCTGTAATCTGCCAAAGCTATGTAAATATCATGCACATTTGAATTTACAGGAAATTTACGTACTTCGTATAAAAAACCCTGTATATTTCATGGAAATATCCTGTAAGTGTCAAAAATCCTAAATACATTATTTACATTGCATTTTGCATTATATCTATTATTTTTACTCGGGGTTCCTGTGGAACCCAGAGTTTAAATTTCGGGCTTCTTATTTTTCTTTGTCGTCGCTTATCYGTCACAAATTGTCCACAGGTAGCCCAAGCTCATAATCACGTGTTATTCTAAAAATGCTATTTAGAGACCAAATTAGCGAAATATTATTATTGTCCTCTATAGAACATCTAAATGAAAGTATTATTGCGAAATTTTGAGCCAAAATAATGCTTTTTAACAGAAATACGAGCAAACGAAAATTGGTAAGAATGTATGGGATTATCACGGCTCAATGCGTTTTAGACAGGTCAAGAAATAACTACAAAAGGCTGTGTTTTAAGATCTAAATGAATTTTTCATGTTCATGGCCAAAAACAGCATATAATTCCCAACAATTATGCAAAGTTTGAAGTCAAACTGCGATTTTTTAGCAAAAATATAAGCGTTTGAATATGGTCTTACTTTACAAGGGAATGTATGGGGTACTATCCAGTACACAACCACGCGGACAGTAACTCCGAGTGTCGAAATAAGCTCAAAAGTAATGATTTTGCTTCAGTTTTCTAACAATATCATTCTAAAAATTTAATTTAATGCTGAGACTATAGTTGTTTTAAGATTTATAGGCTTTCCGAGGTTAATTTGGCGTGTTTCAAGTAGCTTGACAGTATTGCGTGACATATTTTTGAACGTTAATAACTCAACGAATAAACAGCAAAAATAGTTGAAACTTTCAGAGAGAACTTCTATTATGTTCTTCAAGGTAGTACTTTAATGTTGTGTGTCTGTGATTTTAGAATTTTTTTCGACTGATGACTTCATGTGCAAACCGACGAGAATAGTCGGCGAGACTGTAATACGCGAGGTGGAAGAAGACAGAAATTCAACGTCTACAAATAAGCTCAAATCACTTAAAAATATCCACACTTTCGTGGCATAGCCACACTAAAATATGACCAGCGTTTTTCCGAAAAATGAATTTCAGAAGATAACGTAAATTTATCGAGAATTTATCTTATTGTCTATCGAGATCGAGTCTATCGAGAATTGTCTATCAAACAAGCTACCTATCTTAGCACAAGCGAACTGTATACGAACTTATGCAGGCTCTGAAACTACTAAGGTCTCGTCTAAGGAATGCCAACAGATTCTTCNCTGACAGCAATTTTGGTGATATCGGAGCTCACTTTCAAGGAGGCTCATTTCCATAGCTAAATTCAGCAATTCGTTTCTCAATATGCAGTTACGTTTCATTTGAGACTTATAAGGATTCACAGAATTCATCTTACAAGATGATTTCACTGACAATTTTTGAAATTTGGTTTTTGATAATTCATCGTTTAGCATTGGTTTTCAACTAATCTCAGATGATGTGTKAACATGACATGTCCGCTAAGTCTGAACGTCTTTCCAAAAACGTTTTCTTTCTGAGAGTTTACTTGTAGTACAGAAGAAGTTTGAGCAACATTGTCACCGCTTTTTCCTGTCAATTATGCTTGGTTCATGGGATGTTATATAAGGATCTGTGGTCCAAGGACTTCCAATCTAGTTTTCATAATAGCATGTGCAAAGAAAGACCTTTGCGTTCTTTGTTGATGACAGGGAATTGCTTGTTGTCAAATACTATAGCTCTATAATGTCCGTTTTAAGAATGAAACCAACTGCATTAGAACTGCTCTACAGCTTTTGATTGCCGCTGTGCCGTTCATCAGAGCAACAGAGGTCTGTACGTTGCTGCTCTTCTAGAAGCAGAGAATCGATTTCACAAGAATACCCCCATGATGCACATGGGAACGATTTTCCAATATCAAGTGCTGTCTTTCTTTCAGGAAAACTTGATTTGGCCATGGATTATTCATTCATGTTTCACTAGTCAATTTTCTTGCCGCAATGAAGCAATATTTCCGACGATTGCAGAACTGCCGTTCATTTCAAAAGTAATAAAATAATGCATACAATTATTATCATTTCCGGCTCCTTTGAAGACACTGAAACGTTATAAAATAAAACACTACCTAGGCGAATCTAAACATCGCAATCAAGAATTTCATCTGATTGATAACCGCCTTGTGTCATCGGCTGTCTACTTAGAGAATAGACGACACTCGATTGGACATCGTAATACTTATAACTGGATTTCCAATATCTCGGAAAATGTTCATAGTGAAATTCATTATATTTGCTCGGTCGGCTGCTAAGATCGTAAACAATTGCGCCATGATCATTTTAATKAAGTAGTGCAGGTGTGTTAGGTTATAATTCCAGCTGTTGACGATTTGTCAGGAAAAACAATGCAAAATTTAAAAAACTGCAAGACTATTGATAATAGAATTTCAATTTAGGAAACAAATTTTAAATGAAAATGGATAAATAAAAAGTAGAACAAAAAGAACTTGATTGCGTAGAGCAATTTTCACGATACGGTATCTGAATTTATTCGCATTACTGTTTATCTCATAAGATAATCTGATTGGAATTCCTTCTCCTCTAGTCAGGTTCAACTGATACTCCAGGGTTGGAGATTGATTCTAGTACAATAGTGCTCGGTGCCTKGTTCATTCTCTCTCTTCTTCGGCACAGTGCTTTCATTGTGGCTGCGCGAAAATCWGGAAGAAAGATGATGTAAATACAGGGACTGAAACASGAGTTYACGGAAGGTAGAAGCTTCCAGATGATAAAGATGAATGATKGCCAGTCTATATGACAAGAATCGAATCCCATGATATCCACCTGCATAACGTATTGAGCATTRTCRAAAATYTTGCAAACGAAAATGGGCAACCAGCAACAAGTGTACAGCAATAAAGAAGCGAGAACCATTGATACTGCTGCTTGTGTTCGGCGTGTTCGCGTCTGTCGCTGCTGCTCAGTAAGGTGYGCTTGAATATCTTGAGTTCGGGACAGTCTTCTTATTGTTGACATGCTAAGAAAGAATATTGCACAGCACAAKAATAATTTTAAAAMGTCGGATAKTGTCCTGAGAATAACTTTAATGAATGTAATAGGATACTTTAAATTYTCTAAKGCTTCAGTACACTCATTAATCTTTACATCCACTTCTGCGATATACGCAAAACAGGCAGCGAAGACCATGGATATAAACCAGGAGATACCAATCAGTGCCACGCGTTGTTTTAATGTAAATGGGCGCGTTCTCTGGAGCGTTTGTCTCGTTGCCCTGAATCGTTCAACACTTATCACGAATAGAAAGATTAAAGATACTCCATGTGCGATTTGTTCAAGAAATGTTGCAGTCTTACAGACTACGACACCCAATBTGTTACTAGAATACAGAGTTACTCTCTCGTAGGACAACCATGGAACTTTATCAACAGTCCAAACAACAAGATAAAGAGCATCTGACACGGCCATGTTGATGATCAAATAATGCAGGTTCTTACGAACCATGTACTTAAAAGTGAGAATAATGACGAAGATGTTGGAAAAAATCCCCAGTGCGCTGAAAAGGACGAAGATAGTGCGTTTTGAAAGTGTTTCYAGATCACTTTCYGGATCCCAATATTTGCAGCTATCTTGGGTCGAAATGTTCGAGACATTGGTCACRGAGGGATAACTCATCTTGGTGCACTTTWTCTGCTCACTGTCTGAGTATCGATCAAATGATGCAAATAACGGTTCAAAGACAGCCTTATATGCCAAATAATTGGGGTATCAAATCGCTTTGGGGGATGGAGGGACYGGACATCTTCATATCATACACCTGCACAATGTTTGTCGCAAAACTGGGTATTAAATTTTCATGGCAGTTTGAAGCTTTATAAAAAAGGAAAATAATTTCTCTCTTTCGATATCATATGTTTTGGTTCAATGTTCATGCACATGGGAACTTAAGTGACAAAGTTGAGAAGAAACTAAAAAAAAAGTTATAACTTTCAACTTTCAACTTTGTCAAATGTTTTCAYTGATTGATAACATTTTTTCGAATTTTCTGGACAGAACCGCAGGTAGCATAGCTAGTCGAAGCGGGCAGTCCAATTAATTGTGATTTCATCACTATTAATTTTTCTGGAAGCCTCTTCTCAGTAGAATTTTGCAAATTCTTGCTCAGTTTCTACAGAGTTTCTACAACTTCTTCAAATATGTAAAACTGTTATTAAAAAGGTTACCTCTACATTTTTGAAGACTGTTTTTTGGACTTCTTTGTTTTGATAGCAGATCATCCTCCAGATGAATAAACCTGTCATTGTAGCGAGCAAGATTGACAGTATTACAATTATAATCCATAAACATCTTCTGCTGGGTCTTGTCCGCGCTGTGAATGTAATATCATCCTTCATTGGGGGTTTATACTTTGAAATTTCAGGAATGTTCTCTTGCGTGGGAGCCGGTTGTTCTGCAGGTTCTTCATCGCGGACATAGCTTGGGTTGTCGATGGAAAAGCGTACTCCTGTCGATTTAGGGACATCGTTCTCTTGAGGAACAGAGTTAGTCAGCTTTGAGATATCCTTTTGAGGGCCAAATTGCGCATGCTCTTTGGGATTGTCGTCCCGGATTTGATCCTTGTTTTCGCTTTGTAGTCTGTTAAAATTTGGTCGGTAAAATTTTTCAGAATATTCATCTTCCGTGAGCTCGTCGATGTCAAGCTCCTTGATATCACGACTCGAGTCGTTTTCTAGATTCGAGGTCATATGTTAGTTGGCGAAGGTGTACTTCAGCGGAAACAATAAAGATTGTTGATCTGAAAAATTTAAAAGCATGAAGAGCATTTCTTAAGGTGATGTTACACTGTGCAATTTTCTCAGGAGTTGCAACAAAAGTTACTGAGGAATTCATTAACTCAGATCTACTTTTGGCAAGATATTAAAGCAACTTGAAACACTATTGCACTGTCATATCACCTAACATTTCCCGCAATTTAAGTTGGCGAGAAAAAATGCATAGTGTGACGAGAGCTATAATTTTCTCGGCACATTGTGTCGTAAAAACAGGACTGAGAAAATTTCACAGTGAGTAGCAGCACCTGAATGTAAGCAAATGAATTGGACGTGGAAGAAGAGAATTTGATGCACAATCAGTTTAAATCTCCCGCCATGAATTCATGAATCACTTTTGGACGAAGGTTTATTTAATGGTGTGTAAATGAAGCTGCCTTGAGTTTCCTAGATAGGACTAGGACTACGGTTAGCACCAAAACAGTTTAGTTTGATTGTCAACACTCAACAAAAAAAAGTTTATCCGTACTGATCGCGCAGCAATGCAAACGACCGTAAGCACATACAATTAATTACTCCTTGGGAAAAACTCGAAAAGAGAATGTGAAAAGTCCTAGAAATGAAATCACAACCTTGACTATAGGCCATTTTGAATGTATACCCTCCCACATCTGAGTAACTGGCATGAACGCTTGTGCAAATCGGGACAATTTGTGTTCCATACCTGTCGGATTTTTGGCGGACGTATAAACTCTATTGTAGAATCTGCTACAATGAATTTTGAAGTCCCAATCAACAGTCATTTTTGATAATGGAAATTGTTAGCAAAAACACAATGAAATTGGTCGAGCTTGCAATGATGACTTACCAAATCATCATTTTAATTAACAAGGTTTTTAAAAACATGATAC